CAAAGGAAGCTGCCAAAGAAAGGACGATGCCGAATAAAGGGTGCTGGTAGGCTACCCCTCCCCTCACTGCATTGTGGCCCTAGGTAGGATTAACTACTATGCTGTAGTACTCTGTGCACCGCTCTGAGACCCATTAGGGGTCATGGGCGGTATACAAATCACATGTAAATAAATAAAATTTTTAAAAAGCAGTGCTTCGTGTGTGAGGGCCTTACGTCCTGTTCTCACACTTGAGAGCCAGGATTTATTTATTTATATCCTGTCTTCCTCCCCAGGGGGAACCCGGAGTGGTTTATATCGCTCTCCCCCTCATCCCTTTTATCCTCACAACAACCCTGTGAGGTAGGTCAGGCTGAGAGTGTGACCGGCCCAAGGTCACCCAGCAGGCTTCCACGCCACAAGTGGGGATCTGAACCTGGGTTTCCCCAGTCCCTAGTCCAATGGAGAGAAGAGATTGGAGAAGAAGAGATACCCCGCCTTTCACTACCAGGAGTCTCAGAACGACCTTCCTCTCCCCACAACAGACACCCTGGGAGATAGGTGCGCCTGAGTGGGCTCTCCTGAGAACTGCCCTTGAGAGAATAGCTCTGAGAGAACTTGTGACTGACCCAAAGTCACACCAGCAGCAGCATGTGGGGGAGTGGGGAATCAAACCCGATTCTCCCAGATTAGAGTCCACTACTCTTAACCACTACACGAAACTGGCTATATGAACCACTACACTGCGCTCTTATCCACTACACCAAACTGGCTCTCTGAAAGTATCTCAGGGGTATTAACCTCTCCCCAGTCTCAGGGGGCTTTTGGTTATCACAGAGATGGCTATTTTCAATTGTTAACTGGATGTGACATGCCAGTCAAAGGCACTGTTCCCTGCTGTCTTTAGAAGCAGAAGAAATTCTCCCTGCACTCAGCCCTGGTCTGAGAGCCAGCACGGATGACAGACAAAAACCTAGCCGGTGGTTTTCGTGGGTAAGCAGTCATGGAGACAGATGCCCTGTAATCAGGTTGTCTGCCACTGACTAAGCAGTTTTCATGGCAGCTGTTTCAGCTACATTCAGCAGGGTCTTCCAAGAAACTACTAGAGAATTCGCCAAGTTCTCAAATTAGCAGAAGGTATGGACCTGTGCCTGGCACGCCCTCTACTGGCTAGACATTTAAAGAACAGCCAACCCACAAATTTATTCTTGAGTTTGGTGATATCGCTATGGAGTATAACAGAATAAAAACCTTTTCAGGGAGCCACGAGGCTCCTGTTTTTCCCTGCCACAGACTGTCTGCTCCGGATTTATTTACGGGGTAGGTTTTCAGACCAGTATCCCTGGGAACTGGTGTTTTGGTGCCAAGCCCATAGAAGGCCTGAAACGAGTTACTGTCGGAATAAATGGGTTGTTTTCCCAAGGCATTTTCCCTGGACAAATTTAATTTCTTCATTTTTCAATTGGCAGGAGAGACGGGTTCCCCATGGCGGGGAGTCCACTGTGTGAGGAGGATGACATACAGGGAAACGACACTTCAACTGAAAGTCTCCAACAGCAAGTTTTTCATTTTCAGGCCTACTCTGGAATTCCTGCTGGAATTGCTGCTGTGTGTGTCAAACAGACCAGATGAGAATGGGCTGCAGAGCTTTAGCAGTAACTCCCCTGACCGTTACTGCCTGCAAACAAGATACAATCCCCAGGCGTGATACGGTCCTACCTGGAGCGGCCTTATACTAAAACAGACCCTCGGTCCATCAAAGTCAGGACTGTCTACTCAAGACCAGTGTTCCCTCTAAGCTGAGTTAGTGTGAGCTAGCTCAGTTTTTCAGCCTCTGGCTCACATGTTTTTGTCTTAGCTCAGGAAGGAGGGCTCCAGAGAAAACTAATTTATGCAGTAGCCAAATCACTTGCTCATTACTTTAATGCCAGTAGCTCACAAACTAGGATTTTGGCTCACAGGACTCCACAGCTTTGAGCATTGCTCAAGACTGGTGGTGGTGCTCCAGGGTCTCAGGCAGAGGGCTTTCCCATTGCCTCCTGCCTGGTCCTTTTTAAGTGGAGATGGCCGGGGATTGAACCTGGGACCTCCTGCATGCTAAGCAGAGCCACTTGCCTGGGACCGTGGAAGGTTTTCTCCCCAGACGTGAAGGGATGGGAGGCACCACATGGAGCCTGATTGGATGTGGCACCTTGGCACACGCCCTTGACCCTCATACCACCGTGATTCCACTGTGCTTTTAGTGCACAGACACCCACATCCAGTTTTAACGTCAAGCGCATGCTTGCTAAAGCATCCCTAAGAGCCAAGATGCATGCGCAACAATACACTCCGTAATTCCCGGTCAAAACCACGGGCGGGGCAAATGCCAATCCCGCCCGGCACCATCGGCCTCCTGCGTGGCTTAAGCCGAACCGACGCCAGAGCGAGCACGCCGGCCCCCCCCCCAGCTTCCCCCACCTGCACCGGCTGGGCTGCCACTCGGTCCCTTTGAAACGGTCCACAGGGGCTGGCGCGAAACAGCCACCCCCTGGGCTGCTGGACTCTGACCGGAAGTGTGCTGCCTTCAGACTCAGGAAGCCTATTTAGCAGAAGCTGCTTCCCCAAGGCGAGAATCCTAGAATCGCAGAGTGGGAAGGGCCCCCACAGGCCATCTAGTCCAGCCCCCTGCTCAGTGCAGGATCAGCCGAGAGCATCCCTGACAAGGGTTTGTCCAGCCGCTGCTTCAAGACGGCCAGGGAGGGGGAGCTCTACCTCCCCCTGGGCAGCTGACCCCACTCTTGCACAACCCTGACTTTCAACAAGTTTCTCCTCAGTTTCTCCTTCCCGGCCTTAATTTAAACCCATTAGTGCAAGTCTAAGCAAGACTCCTGCCAACCTAGCAGTTCGAAAGCAAGAAATTGCAAGTTGATAAATAGGTACCACTTCGGTGGGAAGGGAACAGCGTTCCGTGTGCCTTGGTGTTTAGTCATGCCGGCCACATGACCACGGAAATGTTTTCGGACAGCGCAGGCTCTTCGGCTTGGAAACGGAGATGAGCACCGCAATCCTAGAGTCGGACTCGACTGGCTTTCAAGCAAGGGAACCTTTACCTTTAAGCAAGAGTAGCTAATCAGCTAACGTGACTGTCTGAAGCCTGACACGCAGCCCCTCCTCCCCCAGTGGCTGGCTGTGGCAGAGCCTGACCCTCTGAACGGTCTCTAGCCTGGCCTAAGTGGACTGTTTGCTGCAACCCGGAGCTCCTAATCCCACCCCCGTCCGTTTTGAATTCAGCAAGGGAAGCTGCAACTGGTGCAGTGGGACAGATTCGAGTCCAGCAGAACCTTAGAGACCAACGAGAGTTTCAGGGCAGAAGCTTTCGAGAGGAACTCTTGCCGGTCTCTACGGTGCCACCGGACTCAGATCTGTTCCACTGCAGACCGACACGGCCACCCTCTGAAACTCGTACAGTGATAATACTTCGCTTCAGGGACTATTTTAAAACGTTTTACCACAGACGAACAAGAGGCTTTCCAGTGCTCAGCCAGCTGACTGCGTACAGAGATCCTACAACAGCGTTTCTGCTTGTCTCTCCTTTTAAGGGGCTCTGTCTTCTGAATTCCCAAGCTTTAGACAGAGGGGAAGCGATCACAAAAGGCCGGGCGACTTACCCAAATCTCCCCCGAGCCAACACAACACTGGCTCCACTGCTGGACCTCCTGATGGCACCTGGTATTTTTGGCCACTGTGTGACACAGAGTGTTGGACTGGATGGGCCATTGGCCTGATCCAGCACTGGCTTCTCTGATGTTCTTATGTCGTTCAAACTGTACACAACACAACTGCACTTGAGTCGCTGCTTTCCCCTTAAGGCATCAGTTGAAAGAAAGGAAGGAGTTCCAAAGAAGCAGAAGTGCTCCCCTACCAGAAACACCTGGGCGTTTCCAGCTCAGCTGCGCAGGTGAGACCATCACGGAACACGGGAGCAAGGCTGGAGAGATGGAGTCCCAGATCTGAGCTCTGCCACCTTCGTCGACCTCTCCTTAAAGCAGCCTCCAAGCCTACCATTTCCAAGCAGAGAGGCCACCCGCTCTGCAGAGAGACTGCAACAAAACATGACAAATGAAAGGGTTTATGCTTTACTGTGCTGCGCAATACCAAGATCAGGGAAAGGAGGTATTTCCAGATCTGCACACAATAGATTTACAGCTGGCTTGGCGTTAGGATACAGAAGAAGGAGAAGGAGGAGGAGGAGGAGGAGAAGGGGGAGAAGGAGAAGAGGGAGAGGGAGAAGGAGAAGAGGGAGAAGGGGAAGAAGAGGAGATTGGATTTATACCCTGCCCTTCACTACCCAAAGGTGTCTCAGAGCAGCTTACAAACTCCTTTTCCTTCCCCTCCCCTCCCCACAACAGACACCCTGTGAGGTAGGTGGGGCTGAGAGAGCTCTGACAGAAACTGCTCTTTTTCAAGAACCGCAAATATACTAGTGGAATTTGTATATTTGGGACTCCTGTGACCAGCGTTCCCTCTAAGCTGTGGAGTCTTGTGAGCAAAAATTCTACTTTGAGGACTGCTGGCATTACAGTTGTGAGCGAGCGATTTGGCTGCTGCATAAATCAGTTTGCTCTAAAGCCCTCCTTCCTGAGGGCAAAAATGTGTGAGCCGGAGGCTAAGAAATTGTGAGCTAGCTCACACTAACTCAGCTTAGAGGGAACACTGCCTGTGACTCTAGTCTTTTCCCCTTGTTGTTTGGATTAACTGCTTTTTCAAGAACAGCTGTGCCAGAACTATGGCTTGCCCAAAGGTCATCCAGCAGCTGCAAGTGGAGGAGTGGGGAATCAAACCTGGTTCTCCCAGATTAGAGTCCGTGCACTTAACCACTACACCAAACTGTCTCTCTGGAGAGGAAGGCAAGTTTCACAAGCCAGCAGACCTTCACACTTGTGTCTGTAGTTCTATAACCAGAAAATAGTGACACCAGCCCCAGCAGAGTTCTATGCAACCATTAAGATTAAAAAACCCAAACCAAACCAAAAGCAGATGTAAAGGGTTTTATTTGCTCTACCAATTAAATAGATTCGATTTTACACCAATATATATACATATATAGTGAATCTCTCTATAAAATATTTCTTCTGTAAGTATTTCTTCTTCTATAACTGGTTTTGCTCTCCAGTGTTGTTCTACGTGGCAATCAAATAGTACAGGTTTTACATACACCAGCATTTATGCAACGTCTTGAACTTAAGGCATTTGGCAAAAGCGTGGCTGAGGGTTGTATCTACAACCCAAGGCACCAGCCCAGACAAAATGAGCGGTGCCAAAGTCTCTCTGAAATCCACGAGACTTCTCAGGGTAGGAATGACCGAGGTGCCCCATGGATTTCGGTGAGACTTGAACGCATCTCATTTTCTGTGGGCTGGAGCCCCAAATACGGAGTTCGATGTAACCGACAACTGGAGTCTAAGAGCTTTGGCTACTTGGGCTCAGTTGGCAAGTGCTGTATGTAAGAGAGGTACTCGCTGATGACAGTTTCTTCCTCCTCCAGAGTTAGATCCAAATAATCTTCTTCGTGTTCTGGAATGTCCTTTAAGACTTCGTTGAGAGCATCCGCTTCCATGTCTTCCATGACTTGACTTGACTCCATGTCTTCATCAGCTGAAGCCCCAGAAGTCCCTACAAGAAAGAAATGCTCCAGACGCTGTTAAGCATATCTCCCCCCCCCCCCAGCCTCAAGAGTTCAAGCCCTACGCTATGCAAGTAGCTTTGTTGCAATAGGCCTTTAAAAACATCAGAAGAGCCCTGCTGGATCAGACCAGTGGTCCACCTAGTCCAGCATCCTGTTTCACACAGTGACCAACCAGATCCTCTGGAGGGCCAACAACAGGGCATGGAGGCCAAGGCCTTCCCCTGGTAAGAACATCAGAAGAACCCTGCTGGATCAGACCAGTGGTCCATCTAGTCCAGCATCTTGTCTCACACAGTGGCCAACCAGTTCTTCTGGAGGGCCAGCAATAGGGCATGGAGGCCAAGGCCTTCCCCTGGTAAGAACATCAGAACAGCCCTGCTGGATCAGACCAGTGGCCCATCTAGTCCAGCATCCTGTCTCACGCAGCGGCCAACCAGTTCCTCTGAAGGGCCAACAACAGGGCAGAGAGGCCGAAGCCTTCCCCTGATAAGAACACATGAAGTGACCTGCTGGATCAGGCCAGTGGTCCATCCAGTCCAGCATCCTGTTTCTTGCAGTGGCCAACCAGTTCCGCTGGAGGTCCCACAAAAGGTCATAGGGGCCGAGGCCTTCCCCTGATGTTGCCCCCTGGCACTGCTATGCAGAGGCTCACTGCTTCTGCATGTGGAGGTTCCATTTAGCACCAGGACTCGTAGCCACTGAGAGACCTGTCCTACATAAATTTTAAAGCTATCTATGCTTGTGGCCTTTTGATACTGTCCATGGGGTTTTCTTGGCAAAAATACTGCAGTGGGTTGCCATTTCCTTCTCCAGTGGATCACACTTGGTCTGAGTTCTCTGCTGTGGCCTGTCCGTCTTGGGTGGCCCTCCACGGCATAGCCCACAGCCTCATCGAACCACGGAAGCCCCCTCGCCACGACAAGGCAGTGATCCATGAGGGATCACCCTGCCAACAAAAGTCCGCATGGTCAAAGCAATGGTATTCCTAGTAGTCATATGTATGGCTGTGAGAGTTGGACTATAAGGAAGGCCAAGTGCCGAAGAACAGATTCTTTTGAACTATGGTACTAGAGAAGACTCTTGAGAGTCCCTTGGACTGCAAGAAGATCAAATCAGTCAATCCTAAAAGAAATCAACCCTGACTGTTCCCTGGAAGGCCAGATAATGAAACTGAAGCTCAAATACTTTGGCCACCCAATGAGAAGGGAGCACTCACTGGAGAAGACCCTGATGCTGGGAAAGATTGAAGGCCAAAGAAGATGGGGACGGCAAAGGATGAAATGGTTAGACAGTGTCATAGATGCAACGAACATGAAGTTGAGCAAACTTCAGAGGACGGCGGAAGACAGGAAGGCCTGGCGTGATCTGGTCCATGGGGTCGCAAAGAGTCGGACTCGACTGTGCGACTGAACAACAATGCTTGTGGCCATCACTATATCCTCTGGCTGCAAATTCCACAGTTTAATCACTTTTTGTGTAAAGAAGTATTTTCCTTTGCAGCCAGGTGCATTTGCCACCAGATCCTTGCAGCGGAATCCTCCATCACTAAGTATCATAAGCTTAGGCTACTTTCACGTACCTTCTATAACACGCTCTCACGATAGTCTGCAAGTGGATTTCCCTGTTTCACCTAAGACAATCCAGTTGCTTTCAAACCATCATGAATGTGCATCGAAAGTGCCCATGTGCAAGCAGGCTAATTCAGAGAGTTCCAACAGGAAGTCCAGCACAAAGTGCACTGAAGACACTGCATGACCGTTCTAGAGCGCTAAGCAGGCCAAGGGCTACTGTAGAGATGCGCAGCAAACCCAGAGGAGCGGGCACTCGGAGAAACTGGGCAAGGGGCAGAGTCACAGGGGCATGGTACCCCCCGATGCCTGTGAGCCAAACGGCTTGGCTCTACAGCCGAGGGTCCGACTTCACAATGGATGTTCTCTCTGTAACGGCTCGGTCAGACAAGCCAGTTGCTGAGGGACGAGGCCTGCTTCTATGAACCTGCTGTGAATAATGGGGGTCTTGTGGCGCTTCCCCGGCCCGCCTGCCCTGCTTCTGCTCGTGCTCCCTCCCCGCCTGTTTCCGAACGCAGCCCCCCTCACCTGCAGAACCCGTGGAGGATTCCTGGGAAGAACTGGATTCACCGGAAGGGGAGGTGCTCTCGGAAGGGGCCTGCAGGTCCTCAGGGAGGGAGCCTCCGTAGTGAGCCAGCGTCTGGACAGCCAGCTGGATGTTGCCTTTGAACACCTGCAAGGCCTGCTCGGCCGCCTTGGCGTCAAATCCCATATAGACCAGCTAGGTGACAAGGAGAGAAGGAAAATGATAACGCGTGACTATCGCTCTCCATTCTCCCCAGCTGCATTTTACCGCCCAGGCTGTGCAGAGAGACAGACAGAGAGACAGGCCTCAGGATGAGAACACGAAGGGGTGGACTTTCCCATATCGAAGCCCAGCAACTGACCATTGCGCTTGGCTGGCACCGAGAAAACATGCACCGTCACAAATAGGCAAAGGGACTTGAGATCCTGCTCCGATCCACAGTTTAGAGTCCTGGCTGTGAGCCAGTTTATAAATCCTTAAATATAACGTCTTCCGTGGGATGCAAGGTACACGTAAAAGCCTCTGCCTCCGGTTGCCACAGATGAAGCTGGGACAGGCCTGTTCTGGAAACAGAGGGGATCCACGCGACCTCTCTGATGAACCCGGGGGACCTGCCTGGTTTGGGATATAAGCCTTCCCCCTAAGTAATAAGATGGTCTTAGGGGAACAACTGTAAAGATTCCAGGCCACTGCTGTTCTGTGCTGAGTCTGAAGAGTACAGAGGTCACTGAAGCGGGAGGTTTAATAAAACAAAGATTTACTGGTTATGTGGCAAAGCCTCTTTAACGCCTGTAGTTACCAAGTCGCCAATCAACTCTGTGCTGTCCTGGGGGAGAGTCAAGCCACTCTGCCACACGACCAGGCAGAACTGCACACGGAACTGCCAGCTCCCTCGCTGGGACCGCTCGCCTTTTCATTCTGCACCCTCCCTCTGGTGGCCCCTCAGTTCCCCTCTGGAAGGAGGCGGGATGCTGGGGCCACACTCCCACAGGCTCAGGGAAGAGTGGCCGTTTCACCTCTCGGGGACAGGACAGCCTCCTGCCCGTCACAAAAGCAGGGACATAACCCACTGCATCGCCCCATTACAGAACAAAAGGTCTGTAAAAACGAGATGTGCTGGGATTGCTATGCACAGCAAAGAGTCCATGTTCGACAGCACATGTTTGTAGGTCCCATCCGACTTAGACCCCAGTTCCAATCAGCGCTCTGGGTGGCTTGGGGAGAGATTCTTGTGGTCGTACACACGCAAAAACATTCTTATCAGAACGGGTCACTGACTAACATGATCCTCGGTCTTACTGTGCGCATGCACGCGCACACACTCCAGTGGGTTCACATCTGGCTGCCAATGGGCTCTGCAGAAGCGACGAGTAACACAAGCTCTGAAGCGAGAATGTCCCCCGAGCTGGCTCAAAATGAACGAGAGAAGAAAATGGAGGGTGGATTCCAACGGGACTCAAAAAGTGCTCACCTACGGGAACTCGCACTGGGCTCAGCCAAGTTTCAACAAGATGCCATGCAAGCGTGCAGTCCCACGGGGGAGGGCTTTTGCCTCACGTTCAAACCTGGCCTCAGCCACTGTCTGTGAAATCATTATTTTCTCTTTCAAAAAGATGCGTTATGTTCCAAACATACAGAAAGCACTTACTTGGTTGATGCTTTCCTGAGGAACTTGGAAGGGGTTCCCCAGCAGTGGGCTGTCGTCCTCCGGGAGGAGCAGCTGGGGGTTATCGAGCATGACCTGGAGCAGAGAGAAACAGTTGTGGGCACGGAAAGGGAGTCAAGGCAACGTCTGTCCCCTGACCTCACGCAGAAAGAGTTCCTTAGATACACACTAATATTTAGACCTTGCTTTTCCAGTGCTGCTCCAAGGAGCCTGCAACAACCTAAAAGGCATTAATAAAAAAAATTTACCCAGCAAACAATGCAACAAGTACAATAGACTGGGGGGAGGGGGGAGCATAATCAGAAGAGAAAGGAGAGTCCAAAATCAGGAACATCAAACTCATCTCGTTGGAAGAAGCTTAATCAAAGGCAGCACAAACATCCTGCATGACAAATCTGGACCGAGGGCCACCACTGGGTGCCACACCCACGCCACATCGGACAACCTAAGTGGCTGAGACCAAAAGGGGCACCTCGCTCATCATCTCTCTGCACACACGAGCCGATCCCCGTCCCGTAAGCATCGTTTGAGCCGAGAGTCTGACAGGCAGTGGTGCGCGAGGCTCCTAGGCAGAGAATGGTCTTCCCCAACACCTGCACTCAAGCCCCAGCCAAAGCAGCTGCTCCACACTTAAGAACCTAAGAACAGCCCTGCTGGATCAGACCAATAGTCCATCTAGCCCAGCGGCTCATCTAAAACAGCCAACCAGGTCCTCTGTAGGGCCAACAATAGCACAGAGAGGCCGAGGCCTTCCCCCTGCGTTGCCTCCTGGCTCTGGGAGTCAGAGGCTTAGTGCCTCTGAAGGTGGAGGTTCCCCTCAGCCACCATGGCTAGTATCCGCTGATAGACTTACACTCCATGAATCTATCTAATCCCCTCTTCAAGCTGTTTATTCCTGTGGCCACCGCTACATCCTCTGGCAGCAAATTCCACATTTTAATCTCTCTGTAAACTAGTATGTCCTTTTGTCTGTCCCGAACTTCAGTTGTTAGGTCCTGTTGCACCGTTCTCTCTTTCCATTTTGTCCGGCCCACAGGTTAGACTAAACCATCACTAGCGTTCCCCTGAACGACCAGAGCCTCTCGCAGTAAGGCCTGTACCCGAGGACACTGCCTTTTGCTTTTCCAAGTGACTGCTCAAACAGAGCCACCAGAAACACGGGCTGTCCCACATTTGCAAGGTGGCACACCCCCTGGCCTTCTCGGAACGCAGACGCGTCACAAAGGGCTCCTGAACCTCCCCCTTCACCTGAATGTAAAGGTTTTTTGAGACAAGAATCTCCCCACCCCCAGGCTGACTGGCACAGCCACCCTCGCAGAACAAGTACTCAAGAAGAGACACAAAGCCACATCACGCGGTACGCTCCCCAGCGTCTCACTTCTAACACCTGCTCTTCCATTCTGCAGAAAACAGCCACAGTTCCAATTAGAGATGTAAAATTTTCGGAAAGATTGAAAGAAATGCTACATTAGCATTTCTTTTGTCTTTTCTAGATTGAAAGTCATTCTGTTACTTTAGGAACATAAAATATGACTATGGACATTTTTACTTGGCATGAAATGAGCACAACTAGCATATTAAAAATATAGTGTATCCAAACAATTATTACAAACAGAATACCCACCCACATGCAAAAACAAAACTGAAACCTTTTTATTTTCTTCTGACAATAGCACCTCCTAAAGGAAGAAATGCATCTTGTTCTTGCATTGGAGAGTTCAGTTTGTAACCTAGGACTGGCTTGTCCTCAGTGCACAGAAATTAGATCAATCTGATACCATATATATATATTTTAGAAATGATTTGGAAAATATTTGAACACCTTGTCTTAAAATATTTTATTCATCATGTTAAAATAAAACGTTCCATAATCAATTTTTTTTCTTTTCTTTTTTCAATTTATCCAATTTTTCGGAAAAAAACAAAAAGGTTTCAGGAAAAAAACGGATAAAAACCGTTTCCCCCCCAAATTTTTCCGGGTTTTTTCCAGGCCTTCACATTTCTAGTCCCAATGCAGCCCTTTGCTCCCTCTTCCAACTCCCTCGGAAGCCAAAATCCATCAGCCTTCCATTCCACTTAAAGCTACGGAAAGCCTCAGTATGCAAATTCTAGACATTTCAGCCAATTCTGAGGAAAACGCTCGCAGTTCTGCACAGCAGCAAACCAGATTCACCAGCTTCAAGTTGACACATTTCACAGAGGCAACAGTATCAGTGCTGATGGCAGGCAGAGGGCCTGAGAATGTAGAGCGCGGCCCTTCCTTGACACGCGGTGGGGAAGAGGGCATTCACCTTCACTGCTAGCTCAAGGTTGCCTTTCGCCTGGTGAAGAGCTTCTCTGGCCGCTCGCTCTGAATAGCCCATACTTTTCAAGGCGTTGATGCCCTCCAGTCGCTTTCGCCGTTTCGCTCGTTCTTCTCGCCGTATTTGCTCCTTCTCCTGCAAGAAATAAATAAGAGTGGTGCCTACCCCAACGGAAGACGGATCTCTGGCCTTCTTCTGTCAAAGCAGCGAGAACCCCCCACGCTCCACAACTGTGTCAGGTGAATATGTAACACTTTCCTGCATCTTTCCAGAACAGCTGACTACAACGGCAGCCCCCAAATAAGCTTATACTGGAGAAATCTCTTCAGCTTCCAGTGGACAGCTCTGAAGCAAGCAACAGATGTTAAGGCTGCAACTGGAAGAGAGAGCCTGTGGCTCCGTGGCAGAAAACATAAGAACATCAGAGACGCCAATGTTGGATCAGGCCAAAGGCCCATCCAGTCCAACACTCTGTATCACACAGTGGCCAGAAATACCAGGTGCCACCAGGAGGTCCAGCAGTGGGGCCAGGACACTTGAAGTCCTCCCACTGCTGCCCTCCCCCCAAGCACCAAGAATATAGAGCATCCCTTGCCCCAGACTGAGAGTTCCTATCTATACCTTGTGGCTAATAGCCACTGATGGACCTCTGCTCCATATGCTTATCTAATTCCCTTTTGAAGCCATCCATGCTTGTAGCCGCCACCACTTCCTGTGGCAGTGAATTCCAAGTGTTAATCACTCTTTGGGTGAAGAAGTACTTCCTTTCATCCGTTCTAACCCGACCGCTCAGCAATTTCATGGAGTGCCCACGAGTTCTTGTATTGTGAGAAAGGGAGAAAAGTACCTCTTTCTCTACCTGCTCTTTCCCATGCATTATTTATTTATTTATTTATTACTTCGATTTGATATACCGCCCTAACCCCCGTGGGGGTCCCTGGGCAGTTTACATGTGGGGTGCTAGTCACATTTGAACCCTAACTAAGGCCACATTGATTCTATGGGTGGGGCTGCCTACCGGCACCCAGGTGGAGGCTGATGTCTCTTCGGTTCGGCTGTTCTTATAATCTTATAAACCTCAATCATGTCACCCCTCAGAGCATCTGCTTGGCATGCAGAAGGTCCCAGGTTCAATCCTCGCCATCTCCAGTCCAAAGGATTAGGTCGTGGGCGATGTGAAGGACCTCAGCCCAAGACCCTGGAGAGATGCTGCTAGTCAGAGTAGACAATACTGACCCTGACAGACCAATGGTCTGATCAGGCAGCTTCATGCGCGTTCCAGAGCTGAACACAGGTGCGAATATTCTGTTGAGAGCGTTTGTCAAGGCAAGCCCCCCTTTCCCCTCACTCCGTAAATACCCAAATGGCTATTATCAGTCCAAAAAATGGCTATTAATCGGTCCAAAAGAGTACAGCTCAGCCATATGAAGGTAGGGAGGCCAGCCACTCACGCAATGTGAGACGATTTTTTTTCTTGAATTTAGCTTTATTATTTTTGTGACATAGGAACAGATACCCTAGAAACTATCGCCATTAAAATGATGCTAACGTGAGCTGGTGACCACATGCTTTTATCCATATGTACATATACACACGCTAGAGATGACCGCCTCGCTATGACACAAGATCTGCCTGGCCCCATACCTCTCTCTGGTTGGAAATGAGACTGGCCGCACGGTCCACGTTCCCATCACAAGCACGGAGACCCAGGCGGGCTTCCTGGGCGGAGAATCCCAGGAGAAGCAGGCTGTTGACTTTCTCCGGATCTATGCCCAACTCCTGAAACAAACTGTGGGCCTGCAAAAGTCAGAAAGAGCAGGGGGGAAAGTCAAATATGGGCATACAGCTTGCAACTTTATCCTGCACAGAAACAAATTTCAACTAAAGGAAGAGGGAATGGTAAAGAAGCCAGTTTTATGTAGGGGGGTGGGGGTGGGGAAGACACACACACATGTGCAACCTTGCCCGTTTTCTTCGCCACCGAGTTTGATGAATTGCCCCTGCCAGGTTAAGTATTCCTAGACTCATAACCTTGGTGGTGGAAAGTGTTGATTACATCACAGCCGACTTATGACGACCCCCCGTAGGGTTTCCAAGGCAAGAGATTAACAGGGGCGGTTTGCCCTGAGACCTCCATGGCGGTCTCCCCATCCAAGTATTCATGAGGACTGACCCGGCTTAGCTTCTGACAGCTGATCAGGCTCGCCTGGGCGATCCGGGGCAGAGCAGACTTGTAACATTAGGGAGGGATGTGCGGAATGCAAACAAACCAACAAACCACTTGCCTTCTGCAGATATTCAGCAGCCTCGTCTTCTCTGCCGTTATGATAATGGCTTATTCCTTGAAGCAGGTAAAGCCTTAGAAACAACGCCTTCTCTCTCCCAAAACTACCCTAAAGAGAAACAGAAAGATTTCAAACGGGGCCACTTGCAGTCTGGAGCCAACGATGGAGACACCTTTTTGGCCTTCTATCTGGTTACTGTCATCCTCTGGGTGGCAGTCTCCCCCTCCAAGTATTCATGAGGACTGACCTGGCTTAGCTTCTGACAGCTGACGAGATCAGGCTCGCCTGGGCGATCCGGGGCAGAGCAGACTTGTAACATTAGGGAGGGATTTGCGGAATGCAAACAAACCAACAAACCACTTGCCTTCTGCAGATATTCAGCAGCCTCGTCTTCTCTGCCGTTATGATAATGGCTGATTCCTTGAAGCAGGTAAAGCCTTAGAAACAACGCCTTCTCTCTCCCAAAACTCCCCTAAAGAGAAACAGAAAGATTTCAAATGGGGCCACTTGCAGTCCGGAGCCAACGACGGAGACACTTTTTTTGCCTTCTATCTGGTTACTGTCATCCTCTGGAGGAGGTTAAAAGAGAGAGGTGGAGGCCAGCCGCCATGACGGAACACAAGGTGTGCTTGCACAGAGCACTAAAACAGAAATGAAGTGGCACCATTAAGATGAGCGGAGTTTGTTTTAGCATAAGCTTGAGTTTCTCATCACTTCTGATGCACATGGAATGGAAACTGTACCCAAACACTTATAAGCAAAATCACAGGAAGTAAAGGCTGAGGGAAGGAGAGGAGCTGTGGCCCGGAGAGGCCTGCTGTAGATCCCTCCGCTGTGAGTCCCTGCAGGAGGGGACTGGAACAGATGTGGGTGTTACACGGAAAATGTAACGAGAGGGGTCAGTCAGGTCTGACTCATGAACCTTTATGCAGAAATAAGCTTGGTTAGTCTTAACGGTACCATTCGATTTCTGTTTTACTTCTCTACAGACAGGCCAGCGTGCCTTCCCTTTCGAAAATACAAATCGCTAGTTCCGTTTAGTTCATTTACATATCGCCTTTCAACTAAAAGTCCCTGCGGCACTTTATACAAGACAATAAAATCAATTTTAAAAAGCTAATAAAGCACAGCAAAGCTTCAGTTAAACAGAGTAAGCATCATTAAAATGCACCAGAAGCCAATAAAAAATAAACTTCTAACACCACCACTCCCTAGCACACATCTTGCTGCTCTGTTTCAAAGACCCTGTTGGAAAAGGAAGGACTTCATCTTTGCTTATCTCCTGCAAGAGGGACTCCCAAAGCCAAGAAGCCGCAACTGGGAGAGTAACTAACCCCCCCCCCAGCTCCCACATGCTGAGTTCCTGCTGGGGCTGGTTCCTAAGAAGGACCCCCAGGGCTGACCCGAAGCCTCGGGCTGGTTGATATGGGTGGAGGCAGTCCTTCAGATACTCTGGGTCTAACCCATTCGGAGCTCTAAAGGCCAAAAGGAGTACCTTGTATTGAGCCAAGAGACAGAATGGAAGCCAGTGCAGATGGTATAACGCTGCCTTTGCAGGGTCACTCTGGTGGGTGCCTGCAAGGACCCTAAGCAGCTGCATCTATTTGATCTACCTGAAGGTCCTGGATGTCTTCAAGGCTACTCACACAGAGTGCACTACAGTAGTCAAGTACGGCTGTTATTAAGGCAGGTGTGACTGTGACCAGTTCAGCTTTCTCTGGAAAAGGTTGCAGTTGCTGTATCAGTCAGATGGTAAAAAGTGTTCTGGGCAACATTTATTACACGACCATTCAAAATCCACACTGAGGCTACAAATACTCCCAAGCCTGCTCACATAATCTTTCAGGGAAGGGGAACACCATCCAAAAAGGGGAGAATTGCTGTTCCCAGAGGAGCCTCAGTCCTCACCCATAACACTTCTGTCTTATCTAGGTTAAGCTTCAATTTTATTGACGTTCATCCAGCCCTTCGCTCTTTCCCGGCATCAGTTTAACACACCCACAGCCTCCCCCTGGATTTTGACGGAAAAGAGGGACAGAGCTGCATGTCATCTGCATCCAGAGGACAAAGTGCTCTGAATCTCTGGATGATCTCACACAGCAGCCTCCTGCAGATGTCTGAACAGCATCAGGAGAGAAGATGAACTGTGCTAATAAGCAGAGGTCCCCTCAAGCAGTCCTTTCCGCTACCTGCCTAGGAATTAACTCCACACATTACTGAGCATCCCAGGCTCAGATTCGCTAGGTGGACCAGAAGGCCACGGCTGATGGTGTCAAACGCTGCTGAGAAATCCAGGAGAACCAACAGGGCCACACATCTCCTTGGTTGTCCGACCATCTAACAGGAGGGCCACGGCAGTTTCTGTCCTATAACCAGATGGGGCAGTGATGCTCCGTATTCCTGGTGCTTGGGGGGCAACAATGGGAGGGCTTCTAGAATTCTGACCCTGCTGGTGGACCTCCTGAGGGCACCTGGGTTTTGGCCACTGTGCTGGACACAAAGAGTGTTGGACTGGATGGGCCACTGGCCTGATCCAACATGGCTCCTCTTATACTCTGTTGGAACTACGAGTATTGAAGTTGTTCAGCCATTGCTTCCCCCGGAAAGGGAGACTGGATATTGTAATTATGTAGACAGCATGGATCTAAATACTCAAGAGAGGTGGCTTGCTATTGCCTGCTTTTGCATCCCAGCCCTGGTATTCCTTGGAGGTCTCCCATCCAAGTACCTGCCAGGGCTGAATGACATTAGCTGCAATGCTCCCTCTAAGCGGTGGAGTCTTGTGAGCAAAAATTCTACTTTGTGGGCAACTGGCATTAAAGTTGTGAGCGAGCGACTGGACGGCTGCATCAATCAGTTTGCTCCAAAGCCATCCTTCCTGAGCAAAGATAAAAATGTGTGAGCCGGGGGCTAAAAAACTGTGAGCTAGCTCACACTAACTCAGCTTAGAGGGAACAGGCAAATGACAATATTAGCAGGCAAATGACAATAGCAGGTGCAATGGGATTAGGAGTGATATGCAGAGGTGGTAATAGGCATGGAGAAAACAGCATTGGTAATAAAACAGGAAACCTAGGTCTTGATTCAGTCCAGAAGGATGCACTGTCTTGAGCTTCCTTATCAGTCGCAATCCACTATTGTCAATTGCCTGCTAATGTCATTCCACATCTGAAATCAATCCACTTTCCAATATATGACAGATAGACTCACATTCTAGCTGTATCTGAAGTGAGCCGTGACTCATGAAAGCTCATCCCCTGCCACCAATTTTGTTAGTCTTTAAGGTGCTACTGGACTCTTGCTCTTTTCTATGGCTACAGACAAACACAGCTGCCCATCTTCATCTAAACAGGCAGAGGATGATTTTCAAATGATGCACGCATGTCTTTCTTCTCTTACTTTTATCGTGACCAGCCTTTCGTGGTTCTCCCCGTAACACTTCCGGAAGCAATCGTGGGCAGCCAGGAGCTTTTTCTCGGCATCTTCAAGGCAATCCAACTGTCCCAAGCGGAAGTAGCACCAGACGATGTCCAGCTGCAACACTGCGTAATTATCAACGGTGGTCAAGAGGTCGGAACCACATTCGCTGGAAAGCAACAAGCAAGTATTTTGCATACTGTGTTCCACGGTTATTCTGTCATTGGCAGAGCTGATCACGAGCGCAAGACGAGCCAGCATAGAAAAATAGGTACCATTCCCCCTTAGAGAACGGATCGGCTTGTGTAGCGCGGCTGACAAATGAGCGGCTACAGAACCAAGATGTTCCGGGCTCAGACCTTGCTGTGATGATGAACTCACTAGTTGGCCTCCCCGCCCCTCTGTTGCAATGTGGGGATAATACCAGCTTACCTTCAAGGCTCATTGCAAGGATCACCGAAAATAACCTTATGAAAAATGCTTTGAATATTCTACAGTGGTACCTGAAAGCTTAAGTGCCTCTTCAGAAATCAAGAACAAGAGGTAAAGAGGTTATTACCAGAAGTGTTTATCTGCATCCAATAGAAACGGCAGGGCCATGGCATATTCTTTGATCTTCAACAAAGCTCTGCCTTTCTCGTGGTACCCCATGGCTAACAAGAGAGCCTGTGGAGGAAGTGGGGAGGGGGAGGAGGTTACTGTTGTTAAAAAACTTAAACCAAACCGCACGTAAACAAGGCACATTTGTCCTTCAGAGAAAGAAAACAACCTATGCTCACTTTTTTGGCTTGTTGAGGAATACTGATTTTTCTCCCAGTCTGGTTTGCTATATCTAGATAAGGCAGCGTATCTGAATCCAAAGAGTCGTCTGCAGAAAGCCAAAAAGATGGGAAAGAAAACGATTATTTAGTATCTTCAACTACAGAAAGTTGGCACTTGAAGGCACTAGGTCTAGCTCCTTACAATTCAAACGAACTGTGTACATTTCATTACAGTGAGCAGCACAACCAACTATACGATCCTCAAAATCCTGACTACCCAAATCCCCCGTGTTTTTCCTCAAAAGCTTATTAGGGGACTTGGGAAGAATGAAAGGAAGCCTACTGAGTTCCACATGATGGAAAAAGTTTAGGAACCACAAAAACTCCTCCCTCCTTTTCACTGCAAAATGATACTGGTTCTCTTGTGAGCAATTTATTCTTCAACAACTGCTGCAAGTCTTTTGTGAACAACAGACAACAGCTAACAGCTCAACAGAACAGGCTGCTGCACTTGGTTCTAACTTTACAAACAGCATGCTGAGAGGCAAACGAGCTGACCCAAGGAACGCAGCTGAACTCGGGCCTTTAATTCAGACCAGTGAATCCAACTTCCTCTCCTGTAGGCTATAAGTATCCCGTGACTACCCCTTATCTGGGGAGGTCTGGTTTCCCTTTAAAAGTGTTCTTTATGTTTTGTTCTACCGGGTATATCCGGCTGCCACCAGGAAATTTTAAAAGGATTTCCAAACCTTTATGCTTTTACTTTCTATTACTGGGTAGGTAGGTTGAGTTTAAGGCTTTCTAGGAACTAATGTCGTCCTGAGGAAGTATTCCTTTCAAAGCTGGTATACTTAAATAAAAGAAGATTTATTAAAATAACTCATAAATAAAAGTGTAGAACAATGTAACCAGGAAATTGAATAATTTTAACAATTGCGTTGTGTCTCACACAAGATCTGCTCCCTTTCTGACAGGGATCTTTCAAGTAACTTTGTAACTCATTACTCAGGGTCATATACGTTTCTTATTTCACTCCAGTCTGTCACTCAGACTTTCATATAACTTTTGTTTCCTTAAACTTTACTTTACTGTTTCCTTATACATTCAACTTTTCTTCATACACAGAATTTAACTCTTGTATCACACACAAGACTGTCTCTCTCCCAGACCTCAGAACGAACTAACTTATCAACTGTCTTCATCAACTGTCAAACCTGTAACTGTCACTCTTGACAGACATACATATTCATCCACTCAGAACCACTTCCAAAACCCCTCCCCCTCTCTGTCAATCACCAATCACACCACTCTTGTCTCTTCAACCACTCTAATATATCTCAGCCATGCAACCAAACTTTTAAAGAGACACAGACACATATAAAACAAGGAATCATTACATATCCCATGCCACCTTCCGTTTAATGCTCGTATTTGATCTCGGCCACCAAAGTGTACAAGTTTGTTAAGACACTCAAAGAAAGGTGTTAACATTCATTGCCTTTTGCCCCACCCATCCTCCAGAGGTTTGTGGTGACACACGGAAGCCCCTCCCCATTTTATCCTCACAACAAGCCTTAAAGTCAAGTTCGGCCAAAAGCAAGCAACTGACTAATGTTGCTCAATGAGCTACAGACCAAAGAAGGGGTTTGAACCCATGTGTCCCCAGTCCCAGCATGACACTCTAACCTCTGTGGGTCTCTCCCTAAAGCAAGTTGTTTGAGGAAGACAGCGAGAGCAGTTTCATAAAGAGGTATTCTGGGTCTCTGAAAAGCTTCACATAATGCAAGAGGCCCAAAGGAGAAGAGAAGTTCACCAACACTCAAAACTTGTTGAATCAACAGATTCACTGTTGTAGATTTTCCAGGTTGTATCATGGCTGTGGTCTTGGCACTGCAGGACCTGACATTTCACCAGCAGCTGTGACTGCCAGTCACAGCTACTGGTGAAATGTCAGGTCCTACAATGCCAAGACCACGGCCATACAACCCGAAAAATCTACAACAGCGGATGAACTCCGGTCGTGAAAGCCTTCGACAACAAATCAACAGATTGTTATAGCTGGACTGCTGTATCTGCACTAGACACAATAACAGGAGATTCACAAACTGTTTTTAATTGTCATACTGCAGCCAGGCAAGGCTCCCAAATTCACATCAGTGAAATATTTTACCGGCACTTCCATCCATTCTGGTAACAGTCGTAACTAACCTCTTTTTGCCAGTATTTCTAGGCCCTTCTTGGTTCTTTGCATCTTCCTGTGCATTTCTTTTTTCTTCACCGTCTCTTCCTCGTGCTGCATTTCCTCCTCCCGAACTTTTCGCCTGGTCTCCTCCTCGCTCAGCTTCAGCTCCAGCACCATGACCTTGACGTTGTGCGTTACTCCTTGCTCTTCCAACGTCTTCCCTGGAAAGGGTTTAGATTAACACGCCAGAGAAAGTGAAGGATACGGCAACAAAAAAGTTAAAGATGGATTTCCAAGAAGCAAGATAGCACCATCCTATCTACAGCTGCACCACCAATCGGCTACTGTATACTTACCTAGCTCAAGTTGCTTCTTATTTATAATTATTTTGATGCAGTTTTCTTCAAAGCCGTATGCCTGTGCCATTCTGTGAAGCAAAACAACAGATATTATTGAAAGTTATTTGATTTCAGATGATATTGCTGAGATTTTGCCCCCAAAATCAGACTGAGTGCATGGTTCTAGGAGCAGGTTGTAGGGACCGGATCACTCCAGGCTTGCAATTTGTTTCAGGGCACAATTTGAGGAGGTGGTCTTGACCTTCAAAGCCCTGTATGGTCTGGGCCCAACATACCTGAAGCACAACCTAATCCCTTATGAACCCACCTGACCATCACAGTCATCTTCAGGGGCTCCTGCTTCAGGCACCCCACTTTCTGAGATTAGGTGGGTGGCAGCCCAGGAAAGAGCCCCCTTGGGTCCTAAGCACCAAAGCTCTGGAACTCTCTTTCCAAGGATACTGGTCTGTCCCCTTCTGTTGCCGTCTTCCGACAGTGGGTGAAGAAGAGAAGAGACTGGATTTATACCCCACCCTTCACTACCCAAAGGAGTCTCAGAGCGGCTTACAATATTCTTTCCAGGAAGGAAACGGACACCCTGTTGGGTAGGTGGGGCTGAGAGAGCTATTTTGAGGACTGCCCTTGAGAGAACAGCTCTGAGAGAACTTATGACTGACCCAAGGACACACCAGCAGCTGCATGTGGAGGAGTGGGGAATCAAACCCGGTTCTCCCAGACTAGAGTCCCCGCTCTTAACCACTACACCAAACTGGCTCTCCTCAATGGCCCCTCCATCCTAACCAACGTTTTCATGTTTTGTTCTGTTGTGTTTTGTATGTATTTTAACTGTTCTGTATTTCACCCCTGTTTTTTTTAAACTCCTTTTAAAATTGTTTAATGGCATATGTATGGAAGGGGGATTGACTTTAATGGTTTTGAAATGTAATTTTATTCATGTTATGAATTGCTAGCCACCTTGGCAGTCCTTGGAAGAATAGAAGGGCGGGATATATATTCTGTAAATGAATAAACAAAGACCAAGACATAGAAAAGCTTCTCAGTTTACCTCAAGTTGATTCCAGAAGGTATACAGTCATATTTCTGCACAGAAGAGGATACCCAAGTGTGGTCTGCTGTCAGCTATGCTGCCATGAAAGTTGGGAAGGTTGGTCTGTGTCTGGTTAATTGCTATTGCTTTCCTTTCAGGTTAATTGCTATTGCATTCCTTTCTGGGCTTTTTCTGCTATGCGCCAAAACGCTTATCTATACAGATGTGCAGGAGGGTGTTGTAGTGTCTGGGATTTCATTAGGTGCCGTGGAAGAATGTTCGTTCTCAGTTTCAGCTACTTAATGGTTTGTAAGCCTTAGCCCACGCGCGGGAGCCCGCCTAATTGGCCAGGACTGTAGGAGGGGTGCATACGAATACCCTATATCCTATTATGCCCATGGGGCCGCCGCCATTCTTAACAGTGCCTATGTTACTGTATCTATAGCTCTGCAATAAAAGTATAACCATTCCTGAATCCGTGTACTGCGTCGTTGGTTGTGGGTTCTGACATCTGCGGACCAAAAATAGTTGCCACCATGTGTGGCCTGAATACATATTTCTTAAGACATGTGGCTGTGTGAATTGGCTTGCTTTCTAATTTGTTCCCAAACTCACACCTGGGTAGCCTGAGCCTAAGCATACCTTCGAGACCGCCTCTCCCCATATGAGCCCCGGAGAACACTGAGGTCCATGAATCAACATCTTTAGCAGTCTCCAGCCCCAGGGACGTCCGACTAGCCTCGACCAGGGCCAGGGCTTTTTCGGCCCTGGCCCCTACCTGGTGGAATGAGCTCCCATACAAGATCAGGGCCCTGCGGGATCTACTGCAGTCCCGCAGGGCCTGAAGACGGAGCTCTTCCGCCGGGCGTTTGGTTGAGGTGGCGGACGTCCCTCTTCTTTCCTGGCTATCTCCACTTCAGAGGCCTAGAATTGACATCGGTGGCCTGGATTTAACATCAATATTGCTCGGAATTCCGAGAACGTATACGCGGCTGCGAAAAGGAGTGGAGTAAAAGGCTTGGAAATGGCGGCGAGAGGGGAGACTGAAGCTACTCCAGCAAATGAAATTGTATTGGTGGACTTAAAAAACACAGAATTTGGCCACTTATCTTTGGAACAGTTTAAAGAACACTTAATCAACGCGATTCGGAAGGCAGCAGAGGAAGCGTGTAAAAATATCTGCAAGAAGTTTCAAAATGCTGACTCGGACGCTGCAAGTGAGGAAAGTGAGGAGGAACCAACGCCCCTACAGCACCTGCTAATTATCAGTGGTCTGAAGCTCCTGCGGAGACCTGCTGAGATGGCAATGCCTGGCCAAAACATTCCGGTGCTCGTGGGGAGAGGAAAGTATAGTGGTGGGCCCAGGCAGTATAGTAAGGGAAGGCCACTGAGAAACAAAAGGGCTCAGTGTCCT